TGGATTCCGGCTGGTTCGTGGACAATTTCGAGTCGGTCGGTTGGGATCTAATGTGCTTTAGCATGTGCCTGAAGGTGTTGCTTATCGGCGCTGCCATTGTCGCGCATTGGCGCACTGGGCGAGCTGTGTGGCAAGGAGAAGAGGCTGACAGTGAGGTTCGTTTTGCTACCGAGTCCTAAGCGCGATCATCCGATGAAGAAGTTCTGGGATCGTCTTCTCATCCAGCTCCAGCCTCAGGGCGACGAGATCTATACATGCCCACTGCCCCAGGCCTGGCCCCTCCTGGGCCCAGGAGCGGTGTAGATACCTCCCTGGGCAAGGCAGGAGGGCGTATACACCGCTCCTGGGCCCAGGATGGGCCAGGCCTGGGGCAGTGGATCTGTGTAGATCTCGTCGCCCGAAGCCTGTAGGGCGACACTTGGTTTTTGGGGGCCAGTTAGATCGGACGCTTGGTGACCATGTAGTGTGCGTTTCCTTGCCTGCGCTTCGAGCCATGGGTGCCTTCGAGCATTCCACTTCACAGGACACTTCCAGCCCGTGCTTGTTTCAGAAGCCCGAAACGTGCGAGGGGCCTACGGAAACGATCAGCATCATCATCAACATTGTCATCATCATCATCATCATCATCATCATCATCATCATCATCAGCATCATCAGCATCATCATCATCATCATCATCATCATCATCATCATCATAGCCCTGGCCCGAGGTTCCAGGGGCATGAGGGCCCGTTCGCTCCCGCTCGCAGCCTTTCACCTCCTTTCGGCACTGCGGTACGTGGCCCTTCTGATGAAAATAGTGCAATGGAGCCCCATGTCTCTGTCAGATTATGACAGGCGCTTGGAGGTTGCACAACAGGTGAAGTTCGCGGACATGGTCCTTCTCTCTGGCACGACCGCCAAGAAGAATAAGGACCACCCCGCGTACCACGAGATGTTTTATCACGAGCATTTCATGATGTTGAAGTTTGGCGGGGGAAGCGGGCTTGGGGTTCTCGCGAACAAAAACTGTGGAGTTGAGAATTGGCTCAATCGACGACGCTTCCGACGCTTCCGACGAAAATACAGAGTTCGCTGCACGGACGCTTGGGAGATTTACGAGTGAAATCTTCACAGCTTGACTTCGCCCTGATCGTGAGCGATTTTCCTCCCAGGAGTACGGAGGCGCGCGGTATCCCACGGTACGAAACTACGGTGCGCAGGATGACGGAGACGCTGATGAGCATCCCGGAGGGCACGCCGAATCGGAACACCATCGTAGCGTCCACGGACCTGAATAACGGGATGGGCATCCAGTCGTGCATCTGGCGAGCACCTCTTATCGTGAATGGATTGAGGACAGCAACATGGCGGCGGTGACGAGCTTCTTCCCGTGCGGCCCTACCTGTCATGGGCACAAGAGCGCGAGCTACATCCCCCACTTGGCGATATCGGCGCCGTGGCTCGTTCGGGTTCAGCGGTGTGCGATTGCCCACAACCTCACACGACGAGTACGGGCGACCCCGAGTGTGGCCATCCTAGACCATATGATTATCGTCGCGGAGCTGGACTACCAGCGAACGTTCCCGGCGCCACGACAAAACAGTATTTCTTGGGATTTCTTCTCACTCAGCGATGCCATGAATAATGAGGACGAGGTGGAGCAGTTCAGAGCCGAAGCGGAGCAGGCCCTCTAGGCGAATCTCATTGCGAATGGCTACACCGAGGCAGCGGCTTGGATGCGACCACACATTCTTGAACTTTCTTGGATGGAACTGGCTACCACTCTCCAACAAGGCGCTCAGGCACGATATTCTACAAGCAGAAAGGATCGGCCCGAATGGTATGTGCGCCTGGTACGCGAACGTGAAGCAGCACTGCGGGCGCGTACAGCAGCACATGACAATTTGGATGGTGAACTTGCGAGCGTCCGATACTTACGACAGTGTACACGACGATGCATGGAAGCGAGGACGTGATTCCGACTCGAACGCGAATCTGATCTCACGGACCAACTGGATACAGCACTGCGCAACAGTCGAGACGATGTGGCATGGCGCGTGTGTTTCGAGATGGCTGGCACTGGACTACGACCGAGAAACCGCAACATCTACGTACTCCCAGATTTCCAGCCTGACCTGCAGACCTGGACCGATGATCTGGCACTCGCGGGAGGCGAAGGCGGCCTTGCAGCAGCACGCGTGGATCGATATACTTTCATCGAGCAGGCAGCTGAGATGCATTACCCTTTCTATCCTGAGATGGAGCATTGGACCGAGGCGAATACGGACCTGCGACTTCTGATCAACACGTTCCCGAGCGGACACAGACGACGAGCATCACCACAGTGGTCTATGCCAACAGAGATGGTGCCTCCTTATGCCGCGTCGTGAACAACGGACGCCTGGAGAGGAGCGGAAGCAAGTTATCGGACCTGTCCTACAAGAGTTCTATCTGGCACAGCTGGCCGTGCGTCAACATCAGAGGCTGAACGCTTGGTGGAATCTCTTTCAGACCTATCAGGTGAGCAAGATGAACAATAAGCCGAGAACACGAGGCACTCGTTTGCTACATGGTCTGTGCAGCTTTGGAGAAGCATGAGTGGGCACGAGGAAGCTACGCGATGATCTAGAGCTCCCACATGAGGATCACGGCTATGTCAATGGCAGGTCTCGGGTGGGTGCGCTGACGGTTGGCAACGTTATCCAGAGGTGATTGCGCGCCGCGAACCTGAGCCACATCACGACACATCACGACATGACGAATGCCTTCGCCAGTGCTGATCATGAGCGTTTGGATCAGACGGCTACCAATCTGCGCGCGCCAGCGGACGCACAGATCATGATGTTTCGTCACAGGCGCACTGCATGCGTGGTACATGCGCACGATGGCGACGGAACCTTCTGTAACAAAGCTGGCTGCTTCATGGGTGACTCCGACGCGTTCATCATCATCATCACCATCACCATCATCACAATCATCATCATCACCATCATCATCATCAACATCATCATCATCAGCAACATCGGGACACAGTCATCGTCATCATCATCAGCACCAGTATCATCATCGGGGCACCATCATGATCACCATCGTTATCATCATCATCATCATCATCGGGACACCATCATCATCATCTCATCCTCATCATCGACATCATCATCAGCACCACCAACATCATCATCAACATCATCGTCATCGTCCTCATCGGGGCACCATCATCATCACCACCGCGGGACACCACGGGACACCGGCGGGACACCGCGGGGCACCGCGGGACACCGCGGGACACCGCGGGACACCGGCGGGACACCGGCGGGACACCGCGCGCCACCAGCCGCCCGGAAGAGACACATTTGGTCCGGCCGCGCCTCAGCCACAGGGACACCGACGGGACACCAGCGGGACACCGGCGGGACACCGCGCGCCACCGGCCGCCCGGTGGAGAATTATTTGGTCCGGCCGCGCCTCAGCCACAGGAGACTTTCTCTCGCCCGCCCACGCAGCTTCGCCTCGCCCGCACCCACGGCCCGCACGAACACGAAACCGAAATCGATTTCCCGGTAGGGGGGCTCTCCGCTCCACTTCGATCTCACCCCCTCACCTCCGACCTATGGCGCCAAGTCGTGCTGGACGTCGCCTCCGTTAGAAGAGTGAGCCGCGTCATCTGTCTGGTGCCGTATGTCGTGCAACATCTTACCGCTGCCCAGCAATGGACAGTTCGACCTGAGAGATCCCCAAGGCCGTGCCCGAAACGGCTTCGACTGAGCTTGGCAGCCCTTGGATGGCTTGAGCTGCCCCACATCATTCGCCTCCAGGGTTCCCAAGGGACTTCCCAAACACTTCCGAGGTAGTCCGAGGCGCCTTGCACACGCCCAGAAGATCCTCAAGACCGCGAAAGACGGTCCACAGGCCACGAGCCTCCCGAAGCCTGCCAAGTGTTACCTCTGGGCAGCTGCTCGGTGTATCTGCTCAGAGCAGCAGGATCGCTTATGGCTTGCTTGTGCAACGACTCCTGAAGCGTCCATCAGGGAGTACGCTCCCAGACGGTGATCCTTGCGGAATGATGTCCACCCTCATCCAGTCCGGTACGCTGGACTGCGCTAGAACCTAAGCGCGCACGTGATGCTAGTACATCTGTAAAGATGTCTGTATACATTCGAATTATATACACACACGCAGGTACATCTGACAGGTCGGCGCCCTCCGTGGTAGCGGAGGTTATTCATCACTAGTGTTTCCAGAACCTTCGTTGATCCACAGAAATCGCGGAGCAAACTTCTTCGCAAGCAGCCGCGAGTTTGAACAATGTGTGGCCCAGGCACTGTTGATCTGAGAGCAGTTATCAGGTCAAGAAGTTGGCACACTGACTCCTTTCAAGCACGCACCAACTTCAAACGAAAACTTTGAAATATGACTTGCTTCGTTGATGCCCAGCTCATCTGGCACATACAAATCCCACATGTTCTCTTCCGTTTCTTTCGCTTCCACCTCGAAGCGATCTTCTTCATCATCCTGTTGGTTTTTCCGCCGTTGCTCCTCATCGTCATCTCCCTTGGTCTCGCCGACGCCCTCTGCCACCTGCTGCTTCTCCGCAGGAACTTACCCTTGAGCTCAGCCGTCGGCCCCCGCCCTAGATTTGAGTGAGTGCACGTAGCAGGCCCGCTCGTAGTGTTACGTGGGCTGGGGGGCAATCGTACGCGCAAGTGTTTACCATTGCCACCCCGATGCTGACAGGATCCTCGGAACTGAGTCTGCCTTCCCGTGGGCTCAGTCGTGGCGACGCTAAAACTGGCAGTTGTCACGTGACATCTTCCGTGTTGCTTTCCTCAGAATGAGGCAGCTGCGTAGCAGAGCCCCCTCTTCTTATCCCGTCTCCTCCTCCATTCTTCTCCGCATCATCAGCCTCTTATCCGACCTTCCCATCCGTATCCCCATCACCACCCGTCGTCATCATCTCCGCATAATTGACCTTCTGCCTTTTCCAATAGCTGGTCCACGCGGGGGGGGCTGCCCCGCAGGTCACGTACTGCTGCTTCGCGGGCCTGATATGGGGCGTGGTGCTCAGCCAGGCGTCCAGCGCCGCCCGCGCCGTGCCTCCCTCCCGTCCCGTCCTCCTCTCTCTCATACACGTGCATACGCTCAGTTGTTTCTCTCTTTGTTTAGTTCTCTCTCGCTCTCTCTCTATCCTTTTTTTATGCTTTTTTTCTCTCTCTCTCTCTATATATATATGTGCGTCCCTTTCTCTCTCTCTCTCTATCTTTCTTTGTCTGTCTCTCGCATTATACACTGTTGCATACATAGTTCCATACATGCGCACGCACCGATCTACATATATACATACATACATACATACATACATGCATGCATGCATACATACATACATACATACATACATACATACGTACGTACATACATACATACGTACATACATACATACATGCATACATACCTACATACATACATATCCATATATTTATCCTTATCTATATATATATACACGTATTAGGTTTATTTATATATATAGAGAGAGAGAGAGCGAGAGATGATCTCCCCCCCTCGTTCATTCTCTCTCCCTCTCTCCCCCTCTCGTTCTCTCATCTCGGTACCTCTCTCCCACAATCCTGTCCCTCTCTCTCTCTACAATTGTCTCTCTGCATAGCTATACAGGTGTGTGGATTCAGCGATTTACATGTACATGCAAATCCACACATGCATACAGCACACGCATCTGGAATACGCATGTGGCCCGGTATATCGCTCCCTGCCTCCCTCGCCCCCCTCTATCCCTTCTACCCCTCTTAAGTTGTATGTGCATGTATATACATTCATCTGCATCCGTATACACATATATACAGATAGATGCATGCAATGTGTGTATGTATACATTTATGTGTACATGAATATACATATTATACACATGTATGGCGGGCCCCCAGACAGCGTTTGCACTGATGGGGTTCTTGATGGGCGTTCTTATGTAATTGGTTGGGTAGTCCAGGTCTTCGCCACGCTGCCGCCACTGCGGCCTCGCGGGCGCCCCGCGCTTGAAGGGGTATGCCGAGAGGCTGCGCCACGGTGCCGCCCCGCGCCGCCTCGTGAGCGCCTCGTGGGCGCCCCGTGCGCAGGGCGCGGGGGGGGTGGGGTGGGTTTGCCGAGGTTGGGCCGCCACGCGGGAGCCTCGTGGATGCCCCGTGCATCGGTCCGAGCCTGGACTTTCTGCGCGACCGCCGCCTGGCGGGTCAGTTTCCGGGGGCCTCGGCAGGCGGTGGGTATGGATGCATCCGGGCCCTCGGGGGCCAACGTATATCCATATCCACCGCCCGCTGGGGCACGAGGACGTCGCTCCCCAGGCGGTGGATGTGGATACATCCCCGCCCCGTGCATTGGGTTGGTTTCCCAAAGTTGCGTCACGCTGCCGCCAGTGCCGCCTCGTGTGCGCTTGGTGGGCGCCCCATGCTCTGAGCTTACTCGACATAGCTTCCACCACCACGTGGCATACACCACACAATTGACACTGCATAGTTTACACAACATAGCTTACTCGCTGCTTGCACCGCATAGTTTGCACCTCCACAGCTCACACCACATAGCTTACTCGACATAGCTTCCACCACTGCATAGCTTCCACTTCCGCACTGCAGTAACGCACTATTTGGGGCCCGCGGTGGCTACCATGTGTTCCAGAAAACTGTTGTCACTGAGTTTCATGATCTACATAATCGCGAAGGCTCAACTTAAATGAATTAACGCTTGAGTCAAATCGTACAGCGACTTGATTCTCTTAGCTCTTAGCTAACTAAATGAATTTAGCGTATGTATGTCGGCGCCTTACCTGGCGGAGCCAACGGCCAGCTTCAGAGACAACTGTATTCGTTTGACTTTACATGCATGTCTCTGTGTAGTGAAATTCTTAAGCGAATCCGCTCGTTTCAGCTCGCCGCAGCGTCGCCATGGAGGTTGCCGAAATACGCTACACATCAGAAATATTCGTTTACCAACCCTCCTACGATGGGACTCTCGCTTTGAACAGAGCGCTGCGGTCTCCAGGTCCTCCTCCCGCCTACTCCTCCACCGCCTCTCTTCTCTCCTGTTTCTTACATGATTCGTTCCGTCATTGCCAGCCTGCGTCCTACGTGACCGCGCTGTCGCTGGGTGGCTGCGAACTCTAAGACTTTCGCCGCGTTCGGGAGCTGTGGAGGGGTCCAGCGGAGCGACGTTTCCGCAGGTCAGAGCGGGACCTCGCCGTCGCTGGTGGGCTGCGAATTGCGAACTGGTCGCCACTTTCGAAGGCTGCGGAGCGGTCCAGTGGACATACGTTTTTCGCATACCAGAGCCGGACCTCGCCGTCGCCGGGGGGCTGCGAATTGCGAACAGGTCGCTACATTCGAGGGCTACTGGTTACTGGGGTGTCCAGCGGAGCGACGTTTTACGCAGATTATTGCAGAACCTCGCAGTCGCTGGGGGGGCTGTGAACTGCGATATTGTCACCACGTTCGAGGACTACTGAGGTGTCCAGCGGAGCGACGTCTTAAGCAGATCATAGTTGCACCTCGCCGTCGCTGGGGGGCTGTGAACTGCGATACCGTACCTCTTTGGAGCGCTGCTGGGGGCCCAGTGTAGTAACATCTTACGCAGATCATAGCCGAACCTTGCCGTCACTGGGCAGCTGCGATCTGGAAAGAAATATCGTCACTTTCGAGGCTTGCTGGGGGGTCTAGCGAAGTGACGTCTAAGTCTTAGAGCGAGACCTCGCCGTCGCTGGGGGGCTCCGATCTGCGAAATTGTCGCCGTTTTCGAGGCTTGCTGGGAGGTCCAGCGGAGCGAACTGCGGAAGTGCCACCACTTTCGAGGGCCGCTAAGGTCCTGACGTCCACGGCCTGCCCGGGCCCGACCATGCACCACGGCGTCATTGTTGACGCCAGGTGCCAGGAGTTTGGCGGCCCTTGGCTGCATCTCTTCGTGACGTTATCCACGGCTACAAGGGCTGAGAACCTGGTGGTGATATGCGATCCTGGGCTCGATGTTTTTCCCCACCGGCCGCCCGTGGATCTGGCGGCGCACTTGCAGGCGTGTTGTTTCCGCGCTGAAAGGCGCATGAGGTAGGTGAGAGTCTGGCGGGCGAGCTAGGCATCTTCGCTTCCTGCACTAGTTGTGAAGCTGATCCTTCGAGGCGCCAGAGCGACACGGCTCCGAGAGCCACTTGACAAAATCGCCGCCCGCCTTGATTATCCCTCATATTTGTTGTCGTCCTCCTCCTCATCATCCTCCTCCTCCTCCTCTCCTCCTCTTCCTCCTCCGTTTCCCTGCTGCTGCCGCGTTGGATTGTCGGCCCCCCTTCATTTTTCGTCCCCCCGTCGTTCCCGCATACATTCCTCTCCAAGCATGGTGCATACTCCTCGTTCTTGTACTGCCGTCCTGTGAATCGTGCAGCGCGTGCGCACCCCATCTGTCTTGCACAACAAGTGACGGTTCCTGCAATGTCGCTGTCCACAATGTTTTAGACCAGCTGTTGTGGCCACTTGATGCAAACAGGCTAGATACTTCGCGTAGTATGTTTCGTCATCTAAATGTCGCTGAATTGGTTCAGGTTATATAGTCGTTCCCATGGCTGGACTCAAAGCATTCAGAACATTCCACTTGCGATGTGCAGTACCCAATACGCCAACGGTGAGTCGCTGCCGCCCCCTGCCTGCCTTTTAGGATACGCCTATGTGGCCAAACGTCTGGGCAAAGTTCGGCCACGCTATTGGATCACGCGTTCCCCTAGCCGTTGTGGAAGCCCTTCTGGGGAACATGTGGGGGAGGAAGAGGATGAGGAGAGGGAAGAAAAAGGAAAATGAGGAGAAGGATGGGGAGACCGCTTGGGAGTTTCTTGGGTCATCCTAAGGGCCTCCTTGGCGTTTTGGAGGCCTCTTGGGACGGCTGGGGCCATCGTGGAGGCCTCAAGGGCGATCTTGGGGCAATGTTGCGGCATCTGTCGGAAGGCCGTTTTGAAGCAAATGCCCGAATCCTTCAACACCCACAGAATACCATTAAGTTTGGCCTCTTCGGGCCTCCCTGGAGTACGTCTTGGAGGCTTTTTGGGCCGTTTTAGGGGCCTATTGGGCGATTGTTGGGCCGTCTTGTGCTCTCTCGGACCATTCTGGCGGTCTTTAAGGCATCTTGGGACCGTCTTAGAGGCCACCGTGGGGCTATCTTGGGCTCTCTGGAGGTCATCTTGCCCGTCTTGGAGGCATCTTAGAGGCTATAGCGGCCGTCTTGGAGAGATGTGGATCTACGCCGCTGCTCTGTGATTCGTGTCTTTGTTTGTGTTTCCTAGTTGTTCGATGCGCTGTTACCTCGCACGTGCGCAAACGTTCGTGGGAAAACGAAGTGCGCCACGTGGGTTGGCGATGCAAAGTGTATTCGTCTGCCCCAGAGCGCGTCCAACATGAACGCCGGAGCGCGCCCCAGAGCCTGTGCGATCGTGACGGAGAGCAAGGCTACTGCGCGGCAGCCTCCAGCGGCGCCGCCAGCGGGCGCGGCGCCGTTGAAGTTGTTGCGGCCGAACTCGCTGGCGGCGGCGGCGGCGGCGGTGGCGTCGTCGTCGTCGTCGTCGTCGTCGTCGTCGTCGTCGTCGCTGAATGAATGCGTGGTGCTGGACAGCCTCGTCTTCACTTCTAGGGCGCATGCCCACCACGTCCTCGGCACCCTAGGGGTCTGGCTGAGCGCGGCGGCCCGCGGATCGCAGGAGGCGGACAGTCTCCCGACAGGAAGCGATCCAACGGAATGCCCACAATAGTGACCACCAGCTCTGGTGCAGAAAGCGCCGCTGGACGCGCGTCCAACTCCCTCCAACTCCTCGTCCTTGTCGTCCTCCGCCTCCGCCTCCCCCTCCTCCTCCTCGATCTGCGCCTCCGTCTCCGTCTCCAACTCCTCCGTCTCCGTCTCCGTCTCCTCCGCCTCCTCCTGTAGCTGCTGGGCTGCTGCAGCTCCTCCACTTCCTCATCCTCCTGATCCTCCTTCTCCTCCTCCGCTC